CTGAGGGGGCCGCGCAGGCGCCGCCCCGCCCCCGGCGCGTGAGTGTGTGTGTGTGTGTGTGTGTGTGTGTGTGTGTGTGTGTGTGTGTGTGTGTGTGTGTGTGTGAGGGGGCCGGGCCGGCGCGTGCGCGCAGCGCGTTTCCTGCCGCCCGTGTCCCAGCCGGGCCCCCTCGGCCTCTCCCGCCGCCGGAGCGGAGTCGCGTTGACTGCCCAGAGTCCGCGAGTCCCGCTCCCCCCCTCACCCCCCCCGCCGCCGCCGCCCCAGGTGAGCCCCCGCCCCGCCGGGGATGGCCGCGGGGAGCCGGCGAGCCCCGCCGGGATGAGGGGATGGCAGGGGGTGAGGTGGAGGCGGGGGGGGGGAGGGGAGGGGGGAAAGGGCGGGGGAGGCGCCGCAGCATCGCTGCCCCGAGGGGCTGGGGGCGGCCGCGCTGAGGGGGAGGAGGTGGGTGCTGCGCGGCGCTGCGCCCTGAGGGGCCGGGGAGGGGCAGCGCCGGCCGTGCTCGCTCGTATCCTCCCTGCCGTGCCCCCCATGTCCCTCCCCGTGCTCCCCCCCCCACCTCTGCCGTGCCCCCCTATAGCCCACTCCGTGTCCCCCCATATCCCTGCCCCGTATCGCCCCCGCGCCCCCCTGTAGTCCTGGCCATGCCCCCTGTGCTGGCGGGGCCGCAGCCTCTCATCCATCCCCATCCCGGTGTCCTGGGTCAGGAGACGCCCGGGAGGAGTCACCCCCTTGGGAAGGCTGCGCTGAGTGGCTTGGAAGGGAGTGACAGCGAAAGGGGGCTGTGCTTAATCACAGGGGCTTTTGGAAGTGATGTAGGTGCTCTGAGAATGGGCAGGGATTAAAAACATCCCTTTCTCTCTCTCTCTCTCCGTTACACAAACACCTTCCATCCCTGCTTCCAAGTCCACATCCTGGCTGGTTGCTTGTCCAGGGATGGCCTTGGACCACATGTTTCTCACCCCATGGATAAATGACAGCAGCTGAGCTCTGTATTTCCCAACCTTGATCCTTCCACTTCTTATACTGAAAGAACTCCTACTTGTACAAAGGTGCAAGATTCCCTCTTTTTTTAAAAAAAGCCAAGCATTGAAACTCAAGGTCAGTTTCTTTGTATTTGGGGAAAAAGCTGAGGGAGAGCTGCATTAAATACCTGACTAACAAAGCCATCATAACGTTGTCTTACCTGGGTGAGATTCTGAGGTTGGCTGACAGGAAGGCATTTGAGGTTATTAATTTATCATAGGGCCAGTGGCATTTTTCCCTCCTGAAATAAGAGTTTGATTTTTGTCTGTGTGTTGGGAAGGAATAAATACAATGGGAAAACTTCAGTAAGATTTATCTCCCCTAAGGAAATGGCATTGCAACTGTCAGGGGACAGAAATAGCAGTGATTTTTTTGAGGTTATTATCACTGTTGGGTCTTATGGGTTTGTTACCAAACCAAAATGGAAAACAGCGACTTGCATCAATTTATGGAGCTCAGGAAACTCAGTCAGTGGGAAAGGATGGATCATACAGGTTTGGGCCTGTTTTGGGAACAGCTAAGTAAAAATATCTGAACTAGAAGTTAGGATGGGACCATATTTTATATGCAGTGCCAATCTGTGGAAAAAAAAAAACAACACCCAGGGTTGTATTAGAAAGTGTTTCAAAATAACTGCATTCCTCGGGGAGGGGAGGTTGGATATTTTTACATTTTATTTCGGAAAGAGTAGCAAAGGCTGAGCATTCCTTGTTGGTGGAACAGCTCTTGAACTTTTCCTGTATATGGAAATGTGCTGCTACCGAATGTTGGCATGAGCTAAAGCAAGGTCCTGAAAAAAGCACTCTGCAGTTGTGCTTTGCTTATATTCACACGTGGAATTTCAAATGATGGATGCCCAAGGTTGGGGTAACTCAGATTATGTCAACATTTTCGCATTAAAAAAAAAAAAAAATTAATTGTCCTGCTTAGGGCAAAACTTGATTTGATTGGTAGAATGTGGTTCTTAGAAGAACCATGAAACTCATGCTGGTTAAAATTGTGAACTGGACTTAAAGCTTGTACAGTTAAGCTTTATTTGAAGTACATTTGAAATGCAACCATCACTTGCATTTCTTTAGAACAATTGCTAAAGCTCCGCAAGAATTTACTCATCCCTCTTTCACTCCTGAGTTTCTGTTGGATTGCCTTCCTTTCCTGTTTGCTTCCAAATTCCTACCTTGTCCTGAAGTCTCCACCCTCTGCTAACATGGCCTTACTTGGGTATGTTGTAATTTCAGGCTGTGATGGGTGTGGATGTCTTGGGATGACATCACGGAGATGGTTCTTTTCCAAGGTATAGGTGGGGGTAAAACCACTTTGATCCATCAGCCAGGGAGAAGTTGCTGTGAAAATAGGTGGAATATATGGAAGGAATTGACAAATCCTGGTTGGATTAAGTGGACTGTGCACATTATTATTATTATTATTATTATTATTACAGGTGACCTGGAGTTTTTATTATATTATCTTCCATCCATTTGTGCTGCCTGTGGTTAATACAGGACATAGAATACAATATTTAAGATATTAAAATATTAAAAATATTTGAAAGAGCTTTGTATTTCCAGGTGGATGTGCCTCCACTTGCAGATGCTGAGCACTGATTATTGTAACAGCCATAAATTAAATAAAAACTAGGTATTTAGCCTTTTTTTTAAACAAAATACTCAAAAACTACAACGATTCAGCTTGTTCTTTTAGTATTTGAGTCTCATGGGGGCAAAAGCCTGACTATCAAACAGTTTAGTGCTAGAATTAATTTGAAGAAATTACCAATTAGTTAATTACTAATCCTAATATTTTTCCCTAGGATACACATAAATGGCTTTATCAAATAATACATCAGCAGATCACAGTCACACATCAGTTTAACCTTCTGAAAGAAGATATTGTTGTAGTGCTGCCTGTGAGCCTGGGTACATGTCAGGGTTTTTAATCAGTTTACTGAGCTATGTCCTAGATATTTATTTTTTTTTTAATTATTCTATTTCCATAGTAAAATTAGGAGGTTTATTAGATTTCTTGAGCACCTGCTCCCTTGTCTGTGAGGACACCCTCAGAAGCAAGTGTCTGTGGCTCTTAGGGCAACTGCAATTAGCTAAAGTAAGCAGGGCAATTAATATTCATTGTCCTACTAAAGCTATCAGGGTGTGTGACACAGGCAGCCCTTGAGTAAATTAATATATTCATGGAGTAACTTGGGATCTCCTGCAAGGAAATTGCAACACCGCACTGAAAGATCCTCGGTAAATGTTGAAGCTGATCTCTGTTTGAATGATTCTCTCATTTTGAAGTGTTTTGTTTTCCCTTTTGCACCTTTCAGCTCTTTCGCTTTTTGCAACATAGGAATCCCCGGACCTCGGAATGTCTCTGCATCAGTTCCTGCTGGAGCCAATCACCTGCCATGCCTGGAACAGAGACCGGACTCGTAAGTGAAATCTTCGCTTTCGTTCTTAATTTATATGTTTTTTCAATTTCTGTTTCCCTCTTGGCTGTCACTTTGGGGTCTTGCAGTGTTCTGTGTCATGTGTAGGGGAGGTGTGGTCAGTTCTACGTGTCAGTTGTTCCGCTCCTTGTTCTCCTTCCCAGAGATTGCCATTAGCCCCAACAACCACGAGGTCCACATCTACAAGAAGAGTGGGAACCAGTGGGTAAAGGCTCACGAGCTGAAGGAGCACAATGGACACATCACAGGTGAGACTGTGCTGAGCCAGACATGGAGTTTTCCCACTCCCCTGGTTTTTTTTTTTTCCCCCCAGCTGAGGCTGAACAGGAAATCTGCAAGTGTCGAGTAAATAGATATTTTTATAGGTTGGCATTCCCACTTACAGGGAGCCTTGCAGCATTTTCCTGGACTGCATGCGATGGATGTTAGGAAGAAAAGCCCTATCTCATTTCCAGACATTTCAGTGGAGTAACTGAGCCTTTTTTGCTTGTCTGTTGCTTATTTTTCATCCATCATGACATAATGAGAACACATTTTCGGTGTACTGAAGTAATCTGGTTGTGTCACAGTGATGCATGCTCCTCCCTTTCAAGCGCTAGCACTAAAATTTCATCAAGTATACGGCTGTAATAGTGGTTTATGGTTCCCAACAGCAATAAATATCCTTTTTTAGGGACTGTATAAACATTTGAGGTGGTCAATCCTGGACTTATGACAGGCCATCAGTAAGCACATTTATATTGCAGAGTATCTGTAGATCCACAATGAAAATTAAGAGGAGCTGCCACGATGAGTCACAAGGTGTTATTTTAAAAAATGTGATTATCCTGTGGCACTCTTTTATATTACTGGGGTTTTTTTCCATGGTGATACTTATATAAAGGCTTTACTCTCTAAGGAAATGAAAATAATTAATACAAGCACTTGCCCAAAGCAGCAATATCCTTTATTCTGTTCTCAGCTCACTAATGGGCAGGAGTATCTGCCCAACAGCATTTTCCAGGAGTTTTATTCAATTTTTTCCAATTCTTGCTGTCCAAGAGCACAGCTGTCTGTGCTGCTTTGTGAAGTCACTTGGGCAGAATTTAGAGACAACGTGCTGTTCCCCAAAGAAATTTCTCTCCATTTCACTTGTTCCTGTTGATGTTAGAAGGCAAATATTCATGACTTGGGAAAAGAGCTCTCCCTGCCTTTGTGGATACCTTCGGAATCCCAAATGCTGCGGTGGCTGTAAGGAGTGGAGTTAGGCTGTGGTTCCACACAGGAGATCAGCTGATCAAACTGTCTGTGACCTCTGACAGGAGTGAGTCAGCTGCTGCCACTCCAGCTCCTGCTCACGAGGGACAAGGTCCTTCTCTTGACTCAGATCTGTGGGGAGCTGCCCCTGCTCGCTTGCAGGAAGAGCTTTAATTACTCTAATTGCTTCATTTTCTGGTAAGCTAGAGAGCTGAACTTGCCATGGGTCAGGGGAGGTGGTGGGCAAGAGAGGTAAGAGAGGCAGGACGGTCCCTCTTTCCAAAGCAGCGTTAGGACTCGTGTAACTGTGGTTCCAGACCACCAGCCTCTTCAAAATGGAGCCTTGTAAGCATAAACCTATTTTGAAGTAGACAATATATGAATTAGTACAAATTCTCCTCGTAGCTTTTATCCCATTTTCAGTTTATGAGCTTAAGGGATGTTTTTAGTACTGAATGTGGGAATGGAAAAGCGCTGACATGTAATTTGTGGCAGGAGAGTTGAGGGTTGCACTCTGCATCTCCAAGAAGGTTGCTAGAGAAAAGATGAAGAATAATGTTCCCGTAAGACTTTCCGGTTGAGAACATCCTTCATTGCCTAGAAGGGGAAAGAAGCAATGGCAGCATTGTCAAGGGCTTTGTTTTATTCCTTGAATTGCTATTTTTGCTTGGGTAAACCTTTCTCTCTCATGGCACAGCTTAAATAGTCTTGGAAACAATTCAAGGATTGTGTCAGTACACAAAGATTTATAACTTCTAACCAAAAAAAACCCAAAACCTGTTATCTAAACTTTAGATCGTGGCTGCAGTCTGGCAGCAGGCAGATTGACTTTGTTAGAGATTGTGCAGTTTTAGAATTGCTGAGTTTCCAAGTCAGAGGTGTGGAGGGTGCTGAGGACGGGCCTTGGCCGGCCTGCAGAGCTCCACCTGTTGGCCAACGTCGGAGCGGCCTTAGCGGGAAATTCCCGGTGGGATCCGGGAATTCAGGATGTGAGGCTGGGGAGGCCCTGGCACAGGTTGCCCAGAGAAGCTGTGGCTGCCCCATCCCTGGAAGTGTCCAAGGCCAGGTTGGACGAGGCTTGGAGCAACCTGGGCTAGTGGGAGGTGTCCCTGCCCATGGCAGGGGCTTGGAACAAGATTAAGGTCCCTTTCAGACTAACCCATTCTATGATAGAAGGCTGTGAGGTGATCTCTGCTTTGCCTTCCTGCAAAGCAAACAGCATAAAGGGAGAAGTTCAGTGCTGGGAGCTCTTTCCTTGCAGGCATCGACTGGGCTCCCAAGAGCGACCGCATCGTGACGTGCGGCGCCGACCGCAACGCCTACGTGTGGAGCCAGAAGGACGGCGTGTGGAAACCCACCCTGGTGATCCTGAGGATCAACCGTGCCGCCACCTTCGTCAAATGGTCCCCCCTGGAGAACAAATTCGCTGTGGGAAGTGGAGCCCGACTTATATCTGTGTGCTACTTCGAGTCTGAAAATGACTGGTGAGCGGCTGAATTCCTGTTCATACCTGCAGGGTCTGCACAGGGAAGCTGAAGCCTGGAGCTCAGCTGTGGGAACTAGGTTACTGCTTTACTAATTTCTGAAGTCTTCAGGGAGTGCAGAGGGATGACCTCATCGGTTCTTTACTCTGGTGTAGCCCCTGAAGGCCTTTGACTTCACTTATTTTCAGGTGGTACATGTTGGCATGGATCTGTTCTGGCTGACTGCCATAAGCATATGTTGCCTTTCTAAAAGTGCAGGACCTTCTGCAGAGCAAAAATTTATTTACTACAACTGTATGGTTGGAAAAGAGAGAAATGTTTCCTTCCCCCACCTTGTTCCAGAAGGAATGAAGAAACCTCCACTTGAGTATTTCTTCCGTTTACATTATTTTGGGCCGTTTCTTGTCATTAAAGAGTTTGAGTCGGTCACATCTCCAGGGTGGTTTGTTAGAAGATGTTTGAGCTTGTCACTGACCTGTTCTGTATTTTGTCATGTATTACATGACAGTTTATAGATTTCTATCACAAATATTTCCACCATTAACATTTTATTCTCATCTAAACTTAGTGCCTCTGGTCTTCTTCCTTTGTAGCTGCACACGTTGGAGCTACATTTGCTGTGTCATCTGTAGGTGAAATCAGTATGGGGAGCATCTCTTGGGTTGCATAAACAGGCACAAAACCACACGTGTCCTGTGTCCAGTCTGCCACGTGGAGGTGAAAAGAAGTGACACCATCTGCAAAATACATTGTAAACATCGTTTTGGGCTTTTCTGCTTTCCAGCATACTCAGTTAATCAATATTTTCTCTGCCTCGCTTGTCTGCAAAAGAATCAAAACCCCCATATGCTAAAGAAAAAGAATGTGATCCTTAAAACTGGTGCTTGATGGAAGTAAAATCAAAGAAAAAGCACCATCATCCCAGAGGCCATCAAGTGAATAACAGATTTCATTACTATTTTGTAAATAGTTCAGATAAACTGAATCTGCTGAGACATATTTAGGCCAGTATTGATGCATTCAGCAGCAGGACCACTTCGCACCGCACTGCAGATAATTGAGACGAATGCACTGGTCGTATCACTGGCAGTTCCCCCATTTACTTGCTTTGTTTTATAGTTATTGTGTTATTAAACAGCAGAAAAGTCAATAGGCAAGAGATGTGACTGTGAAGCTCATTGGAAGGAGCTGGAGAGGACTCATAGCTGGTGATCCGTGAAAACGGGGCTGCTTGGCTCTGTCACCCTCCCAGCTGACCTCGTGCTCAGGGGGTGTGAGGGACCAGGTGGTTCCCGGGCCAAATTCCCATTAAGGAGTTTCATGTGATTCATTATAAGAATTAGCTGGAAGGGGTACAGTACTCAGGTGAGGAGATACGTTTAACGAGTCTGCTCATAGTGTTTAAAATTTTAATTGAGATAACCATAAAAAGTTCACAGATTGCACAAGGGGATGTGAAAGATTTGGGCGTGACGTGCTTTCCAAAACCGACGTGGTTAGTCACTGGCAAGGAGTGATCTTTTTGAGGAGTGCTTGGGGGAGGCAGGTAAAATATGCTCATATGAATTTTATGCATCTTTCTTTTTTTTTTTTTTTCTGTTATTTTAGGTGGGTGAGCAAACACATTAAAAAGCCCATTCGTTCCACTGTCCTTAGCCTGGACTGGCACCCCAACAATGTTCTGCTGGCTGCAGGATCCTGTGACTTCAAGTGCAGGTGAGAGGAACTAAAGCACCTGTGTGTGGTTTGGGTCACTGGATCGAGTCAGCAACATGAGTGTGTTCATCAGGCAGTTGCTATTAGAACAAAAGGTGGCTCACTGCACGCTCTGGTTGGTACCAAAATAAAACACCCAGCTGGAGCAACGCTGGCTTTGGTGCTGCTGCCTGCTGACTTTGGACTGCCACCATGGATCTGCTGAGGGACACACTTCCAAAGGCCTTATCCCACTTTTTTCACCCCTGAGTCATTGCTGCTCTCCCCTTTCCCTGTGCTGGCAGTGACATTCCCGCAGCCCCATGAGGAGAGCGGGGTCAAGGAGTTGATCCACCTCCAAGTGCAATAAAACACATTTTCTGAAGGGCATTTTAAAAAAAAAAGGCTGTTAAAAGCAGATTGGCATGAGAGATGGATGGGACAGGCTTTCAAACTGATGGTGAAATTCCAGCAGGAGGGATGGGTCAGGCTGCTCTGAGGGAGGGATTGGGGTCACTGCAGGGGAGTTGCATGGGGAACTGTCTGCAGTGCCTGGCTTTAATTCACATTTACTTAATCACTTGTACCTTGGATGATAATGAAAGCTTCTTTTCTTAAATTCTTTATGTAATAGGGCAATTTTTAAGCTTCAAAGTGTGTACTAAAAATGATTTAAGGAGGAGTGGGAAGGGGAGGTGGGACTGACTATTACATCCCTTATTTCAGAATGAAACCCCCCACTTCTAAACCCCATCCTTTGATACTTTTTTATGTAAGGAACAACGTTAAATGGGAGCTGGGAAGGAGAGTTGTCTCCCTTCCCTTCCTTATCTCGTTTTCGTTAGATAAACTATTCACTTCCTTTCACAAAAAACATGATGTGAGAGGTAATCACTCATCTTCCAGAAGCAGCTGCTTTTCACCTGTGGAAATCTTCTCAAGTGTGTTGATAAAGGATCTTGGGACTTTGACATTAGGTCACCTGAAATACATTATATGTGTGTGTATATATATATATATTTATATTCCTTTGGACTTGAGCTTTTTCAAATGCTTGTTATGGGCATTGCATCCCTGGTTACCTCCTTTTTTTCCCTGTTTGGTTGAAAGTTAAGATTCACACAGTTTTTCTGTTCGGTGTGATTTTTTTTTTTTTTTAATTATATTTTCTGGAAGAAAATAGTGTGGTTCAGTTGGTCTCCTTTTTATTTCCCATCAGAAAACTTGCTCTGTCCTGCACCTCATTTCTCTGAAAATGGGCTGTATTTTATAAAAAAAGAACAGGCCTTGGTTTTAAAAGAGAGGGAGACTTTAGTGAGGGAAAAGACTTATTTTTATTCTAACTAACAGTTAAATTCGAGGTCTTTCACTACTTAGGAATTATTTTCCTGCCTTGTGTCAAAAGGCTGTTGCTTTAAACATCTTGTCCTATTTCCATACATTAGGAGACCCATCTTTTTAGGTGGCTCTGTAAAATTAAGTTTTTTGAAGGATTATAATTAGATTATATTTAAACTGATAGAGCCCAAATATAAATTCATACTTAATTCCCAGAAAATCTGTGCCTAATATAGCTGCAGTTATGATACCCTTCTCATTCCCAATGAGCAGCTTTATTGGAATAAGCTGAATGTAGGTACCTTTGGAAGTGCTTCCCCCACACACGTAAAACATTTCAAAAACAGGGAAGGGGAGGTGGGGGGGAGCTACATTTCCTTAAACTCACAATAAAATAATTCCTTTTTGGAGTATTGGATCAGAGATTTTCCTTTATGCTGAGTTTTTCCCCCCCTCTGGTAGTAGTGTGGTGTAGCTGCCTTGCTCCTCCTGCTCAATGGACCCTAATCCTCCGTGGGTGACAGTCCCGGTGAATTCCATGGTAACCCACTCAAGAACACCATATTGTGGCATGTCTGAATCATGCAGAAGGAATTTGATGAAAGGGGGAGGCTTTCTATTTAAGCATATCTTGAAAATTGTAACCCTGGGAAAAAAAAAAACCAAAAAAAACCAACTCTATAAAAACATTGTGGTATTTCAGGTTTTTGAGGTGTTTTTTTTTTTTCCAATCACGAGCAGGAGGGAGGTGGCTCAGAGCCCCTTCGCAGGCGTCAGAACATCGGGTTGCTTTCTTTGAAATCCTGCTGAAATGTGAACGTTCCTAAAAAGTGGGTAATTTTGTAGGTGTTTGTATTAGCTGCTAATTATACAGTGCTGTTCCTGGGTGTTCTCAGAGCTGAGGGATGGACTCTGGAGAGCTGTTAGCGCCGCGAAAGGATGAAAAGGGAAATCTTGGCACGGCGGAAAACGCACTGACAACCGTGCGTTTTTGTGCCATCTCCTGGAAAAAAAGGAGAGGGGTACAAGAGCAGCATTTAGGAAAACCCTGTGTGCTTTACAACCTTTCTCCCTGCACACTGAAGCTTCCAGGCTTGTTTAAAGTTCCCATAATGTTTTATTTGGCCGGGGAATCAAACACATCCCTCTCCATCCGGAGCTCCCGGGAGGTTTCTTCTCTCTCTCTGTTCACACTGAAATCTTTTTTTTTTATTATTTTATTTTTTTTATTTGCAGGGTGTTTTCTGCCTACATTAAGGAAGTGGATGAAAAACCAGCCAGTACTCCCTGGGGCTCCAAAATGCCTTTTGGGCAGCTGATGTCGGAGTTTGGGGGGGCGGGGAGCGGGGGGTGGGTGCACAGCGTGAGCTTCTCCGCCAGCGGCAACCGCCTGGCCTGGGTCAGCCACGACAGCACCGTGTCCGTCGCCGATGCCTCCAAAAACATGATGTGAGTACCCCCTTGCTGTCACTCAGCAGCTGTTGGACTTGATGATCCTAAAGGGTCTTTTCCAACCCTGACAATTCCGTGATTCCCCGTGGAATGTCGTACCTTTGTCTCACGAGGGCTGAGACTGCCGTTGCCACTTTTACTGCTGCAGGTTCCAGGAGTCTCTTTGAGGCTCCTGTAAGGTTGATGCTTGAGAATTTAAGTTATAGACTCCAAAACTCTTAGAAGAATTCTTCACTGAGGGCATAGCCAGGTTAATTTGGGGGGGGGGGAAAGCATTTGAAAAGGAGAAATTGCATTCCACTCCATGTGGAAATATACAGAGAATTTGGGGGGGAAACAATATTTCCTTGTAAATGGATTCAAGAGAGTCCAGAAACTTGCTCACTCCATAACTAATAAGACCCTATCCCCATCCAGGATCTGGAAAATAAGTTGTTCATTTCATGAGATATTAATTCCAGCCACTTGTCCTTAAGGCTCTGCTGATGCAAAGTTTCAACTTGCACCTTCCAATCCAAGAAAATAGTCCATTAACAGTTACTCCTCCTGCTCCTCCTCTTGATCTGCATAACTTTGCAGTGTCCATGGCTTCCTAACCAAGGAGGAGGAGGCTCTCCATATGTTTTGGTAACAGAGATCTCTGGGGATCACCCAGGCAGTGTTGGGATTCATTTTGAATTGTGGTTCTGAGGGCTACAGTTATAACTGTACCTGGCAGGGGATATCAGTCATTATGGAGTGTTTCAGAATTCTTTTCTCATTCGTCATTAAATCACAAAAACTGACTTAATTGAACATCAAGGCCTTTTCCTCCTGAAAAGATGACAAACCTTAAAATTTCAAGTGTTTTCAATATGCAAATGAAGTCAATAGCTTCATCAGAACATTTTTGGGGGTGTTCCTTTTAAACTCTTACACACAATGTTGGCAACTTCAGCCTTTCACCTGGAACACTTACATTTTGTTACAGACCCTCCAGGACACTTCCATTGGGTTAAAACTTCTTGTCACAAATTACAACCCTCTGGAGTCACCACAGGACAACTGAGCTGGGCTGGCTTCTCCAGTAATCCTCGCGTGGGGACGCAGTCTATTTTTTGTTAGAGCCAAAAAACGAGAGGTTTCAATGAATTCCTGTAACAAATGTTCTCGTGTTCAGGGTTTCGCAGCTGAAAACAGAGTTCCTCCCACTCCTGAGCGTGTCGTTTGTCTCTGAGAACAGCGTGGTGGCAGCTGTAAGTGTCTGTTATTTTCTGCTTTTGGAGTGTTGTCGTGTTTTGGAGGGGGAGAAACACCACATTTCCCCCAGCTCATCATAAATAAGCTCTTGCTCGGTGCCAGTCTCTGCCCTCTGCACTCAGAGGGGGCAGCAGCACCGGCGGGGCCGGGCAGGTGGTGTGTCCTGACAGGGTTCCCCTGGTGTTTGGTTGCAGGGCCATGACTGCTGCCCCATGCTCTTCAACTGTGACGACCGTGGCCTGCTGACCTTCGTTTCCAAACTAGACATTCCAAAACAGAGCATCCAGCGCAACATTTCCGCCATGGAGCGCTTCCGGAACATGGATAAAAGAGCCACCACGGAAGATCGCAACACCACCCTGGAGACCCTGCACCAAAACAGCATAACGTGAGTGCCCTGCTGCCAGCACGAGGGGAGGGAGTGCTCTCCATGCCAGTTTGGTTTCCCAGGATGTTCTGCAAGCCTTGCTCTACCAGGAGGGCTTAGCCAGTATCCCCTTTTCCTTGTAGGCTTGCCCTAACACCTGCCTGTTAATCATTGCTGCAGTTAATCATTGACAGGGTGTGCATGCTTCTCCTGTTTGCTCGTGACTGATGTGCTCTGTAGCCTGGACACAGCTTATCTTATCACATATTTGATAATAGGTGGGTAGTTCCCAAGAGCCTGGTGGCACTGTGCAAAATCTAGTCAGCAAAATCCACCTCGAGCAGGAATTCACGTCCCAGCTTCCTGTTTTAAGATGTTATTGCCACGTGTATTTAGTTATTAGGTATTACTGTTTTCAAAAAGTGAAAGGAAAGAAATGTAGGTTAGATACGTGGGGAAAATTCTTCCCTGTGAAGGTCCTGAGGCAGATTGCCCAGAGAAGCTGTGGCTGCTCCATCCCTGGAATTGTCCAAGGCCAGGTGGGACGGGGCTTGGAGCAACCTGGGATAGTGGAAGGTGTCCCTGCCCATGGCAAGGGGTGGAGCTTTAAGGTCCCTCCCAACCCAAACCATTCCATGATTCTGTTGATCAAAAGGATTGATCCAAGTTAATTGAGTAAATTATCCCTGCCTTTAAAAAAGGCACATGATCCCAGAGGATGTTGGGTGGTTCATGTTAATCCAGGGAAAACATTTAGCCCACCAGGCCATGAAAGAGCTCTCAGCATCCTTTTCTTGGCTTATTTTTCTGAGGCATTTGACCAAAAAACTGGTGTAAGCTGTGATATACTCATGTCTCCATCTGAAGGAGTAGGAGTAGAATTCAACCCAAATTTCCCAGCTTTCTGGCTCTGTGTGATGGGTGTCAGAGCTCTCACTCTCTGCTTGCAGCCAAGTGTCTATTTACGAGATAGACAAACGGGATTGTCGGAAATTCTGCACCACCGGCATCGATGGAGCAATGACCATCTGGGATTTCAAGGTAAAGACATGCTTTTTTACTGCTGTGTTTATGTGAACTAGCTGGGGTGAGGGGCTATTTTTTGATCTCTAACATCAGCTCCTGGGGCTCAGCCCTAAGGCAGGTTTCATCAGCAGCAGGAAATCCTGACAGGAATATTCGAGACTGTTTTGCGAACTCCGTAAGAAAAACAGATCCAAGAATCAGCATAAATGCAGATGCACTTTGTTTAGCAGATGGTGCTTATACAGACTTAATTTTTTAATGGAATTACCTAATGTCCCTGTAGGAATTCCCACCAATTCTTTTCTTCTCCAGCCTCAGCAACAGTTGGGCTGGAATATTCATGGGTATGACATAGCCCATTGCCTCTTCCTGCCCCCATCCCACAGGACTCTCTGCTCCCTGTTCTGCTGCAGAACACGGTCCTGCCCTCTCAGAATTAACTTGCCAAAGTAGTAAGAAGTTGCCTCAAGCAGTTGGAAAATAAAGATCCTAAAAGGATTTAACAATGCCCATGCTTGCTTTGCTGAGGCCTGGCCGACAGAGGTCTCTGCTGGCCTTCCCAAAACTCCTGGGACCTGGTCTAGGAAAAGAATGGGTTGTCTGTGTTCTGTGATACCAGAAAGTTCTGGAGGAGCCAGAGGAGAGGATGAGGTGATCTATAAGCTGCTTTAGTGCAGCTTCAGGTCTGTGTCACTAGTATATATATGCCTGAGTTGGAAAGGAATGACTCGTGTGGCTCTTGAATTAGGACGAAATTCTTTCCTTTACAAAGAAATTCTTCCCTGTGAGGGTGGGGAGGCCCGGGGGTTGCCCAGAGAAGCTGTGGCTGCCCCATCCCTGGAAGTGTCCAAGGCCATCCTGGGATAGTGGAAGGTGTCCCTGCTCATGGCAGGGGGTGGAACAAGATGAGCTGTTAAGGTCCTTTCCAACCCAACCCATTCCATTCCAAACCAAACCAAAGATTCCATGATTCTATAAAGATGAGTCTAATCTCAAGTATTCGGTTTTTTTACTTGTTTTTCTTAGCATTTACACAGAGTTATTTAACACAAGTTACTGCTGCTGATAGTGATTAAGATTTTTCTCTCTTTCAAGACCTTGGAGTCCTCCATTCAAGGGCTACGAATCATGTAAGGATGGATTTCCAGGATCTAGCAGGACAAACTGCTCGACAGAATGCAGCTCCCACATCTGCACAGACCCGAAAAGGGAGGAGGAGGAAGGTGAAATGTTTGGAAACACTGAGAAAATATGGCTTGGCAGATTCCCTTTTGAATCTAAATTTGGTGAATTGTGTTGGTTTCAAAATCAGCTGTGATTGTTCCTTTTTTATTTTGTTATTTTATTTTTTTTTTGTTTGTTTTGGTTGGTTGTTTCATTCCATTCTTTACCAAAGCTGCTCCTTAAGTAGTTTATTGCAGGAAGTTGTGAATCACTAACTTAAAAGGGGAATTTTATGTAAATTGTCTGCTAGAAATAATAATAATAATAATAATAAAAAAGAGAAAAACTGGTTCTTTGCTTTGATGCTCATTGGTGGCGATTAAAAAAGGGATGTTTAGGGAATTAATTGGGAGAGAGAGGGAATGGGAAAACCCTGCACTGATACTTTATGGCCTTAAAACAAGCAAAGTTCTTTTTAATTGAAAGTTTCTCCAAGTTGACAGAAGAGGACCTGGAGTTGTGATGATCTGGATGTGAAGGTTCAGATGAGCTTCTTCCTGGGAAACTGTTCCCTTGAGGTGATGATTTTCAAGATGAATGATTTAATCCTACTGCTCTTAGTTCTGTCTGCCTTGCATTTAATCCATAGTAACAGCAAATTAACCTGAATATCTCTTTTTTTATTGTCTGCTCAGCGGGCCACAGTTCTTTCCAGAGGCAAATGACTGGAATTATTTGTAGTTCCCTTTTGGGATTGGTACCAACCTTGCTCCCAGTGCAGTGCCCGGGGGATGAGGCGAAGGAAGGGCTGTGCTCTGAGGGGATCAGCTTGCTCTACAACGTTCAAGACTCGTTTCTGTTGAAAATGCAGAAGTGTGTTTAAAAAAAAACTCCCTCAGTTTACCACTTCCTCTGGAAGCAGGGTTGCTTCATACCCTGCTCGTTTCTCAGCTCGGGGTGGCTGAAGGGGGAGGAGAGTGGAAGATCAGCTCACAAAGTGCCAACTCCTGTTCTCCACTGCAGGGCTGGATCCTTCTCAGGTGCTGGGCTCCCTGCACACAGCTGACTGGTTTTTCAGTTCCTTTCCTCTCCCTTCTAAACATAAAATAATGAGTGTTTAACCTCTGCTCTCCTTGCAGTCTGAGGATCTGCTGTGTAGGATCGCTGGGATGGGTGGGGTTTGTCAGGTGGGACACCAGGATAATGGAGTTTAGTGTCCTGTGGAGCAGAGTGACCCTGGATGGACAGAGGAGCACGGATTTGGCTTTGTCAATCTCTGAATGGACTATTAGATGTTTATCTCACAGGCAGCAATGACTGTTTCTGGAGTCACTTTGAAAGGTTGGTGGTTTATTTCCTAAAAGTATTTTTAAAAAAAGATTCTAAAATATTTGGTCCAGGTAAGATAAAAAAGGATGAAAAAAATCACCTAACAAGAGAAAATAGATCTCAGTGTTTATGCCTGGGGCTGAGGGGGGACCCTGCCCGTCCTGCAGTCCCTCGGGGAGGGAAGGGGTGAGTGCATCCCCCTGCTCAGGGAGGGGAGGGGGGAGAAACTGAAACCCATCTCTCTTTCCCAACACGAGTTGCTCCGAAGCGGAAGGGAAAAACCTCGAGGGGTGGATGGCTGGTGGTGGGGGCAAGGCTCGGCGACCCAGCCTGGGCTGGGGTCCCAGTGGGCTCCGTGGGATGCAGGAACCGGCAGCATCTGCTCCGAGGGCGGCCGGATCTCGGCTCCGCGGGGCCCCGCGGATCTCCCCGGCCGTGGGAGGCGATGCCGACGGGAGTCGCGCCCCGGGTGGGCTCCAGACGCAGCTGTTCCCTGCTCCGGGCCAGCACCGCGAGGCAGGCAGGGTGTCCCATCCCTCCGAAACGCCTCAGGGACCAGGCGGTGAACGACACTCCCGCGGCCAGAGGGGGAGGACGGGCATCCCCCTGCTCTCCCGGCCGTGTCCTTCCCTCGTGGCCCCGGGGCGCGTTGCCCACATCCCACCGGGATCCCGGCAGGAGCATCCCGGGGCCGGTGTCCGGTCCACGTGCGGCGATGGAGCGGGCCTGGCCCGCAGGCACAGGGGCAGGGCGGCCGCAGAGCTGCTGTGCGCTCCCCCAACGCCCACGTAAGGAAGTGGTTACATTTCTCGGAGAGGAAAAGGGAAGTCGGGCAGCCTCGGCGGGGCAGGCACAGCTCCCGCCGCTCGCTCGGGGCTGCGTTCGTGTCGACTGCCCAGAGTCCATGAACGAGCCCCGCCGTCCATGAACTGAGCCCGGCCCGCCCTGCCCGCGCCGCTCCCAAAGGTAAGGACGGGGAGGAGGCAGCTCTGCCACCCCGGCACGGACCCGGGGCTGTCCCGTGGGGCTGTGGCTGTCACCGCTCCTGCTGCTCCCACCCTGCTCGAGGGGCCGTGGGGACCCCCCGACGGGGGCCAGGGGGGTGCGGGCAGCCCCTTCTCTCGTGAGAGCTTTGCTGTCGCTGCGTTTGGGATGTTTGGGGTTTCTTCTTCCCCCCCCCCCCCCTCCCCCCGATTTGGGAGCAAGTTTGAGGTTTTTCCTCTTGCTGGAGGTCTGACAGTTGTGAGGGGGGAGTGTGTGTTAAAATGGTCCTTCCGTGGGGGTCCCGTCGTGGTTGGTGCCGGCAGAACCAGGGCTGCCACGATCCGTCCTCTCCTCCTTGGGAATCGGCTGCTCCCCGCTTTGCCCAGCGTGAGGAAGAGGAGGGTTCGAGCTGCCCTCCCTCTGCCCTGGGACGGTGATGTCCCCCCCGGGCCAGGCTGGCTCCTGGGGCACCCCAAACCAACACTGGGGACCGAGGATGGGTGTCCCCAACCTGGCTGGCAGGAGCACAGGGGTGGGGGACTCCTCTGGTGCGTGGTGGCTTCCTCCAGGGACTGGGAGGAGCCCCCAGCGCTCGGCTCTGCCAAGGTTTGGTTATCTCCTCCAAGGATGTTTCCGAACTGCTTGGACTGGCCGGGGAGATAACGGAGCTGCTCCGAGTCCCAATCCCGCCCTGTCTGACCTTTGGAAAATTCCCGTTTTCCTCCCTCGCCAGCCCCTGTGTCGAGCAAGGGGAGAGCCACAGCCCTTCCAATGCTTTTTTTCCTGCTGGGAAAGGGCCTGCCAAGCCTCTGTGGGTCACCCCAGGGCGGGAGCAGGGCTCAGGGACCTGGGTGTAAACGGGCTGTGGGGGAAATGAAACACCAACCCCTGCAGGGAGGGACTGGAGAGCGAAGGGCCGAGCAGCCCTCGCTCCTTTCCTGAGGCGGCCTCCGCTCCTGGCACGGCAGATGAACTCATCCCTTCGGGATGGCATTAAACCAGAGAGCAGCAGGACCCCCAGGGAGGAGGATTTGTGCCTCTGAGCATCCAAACCCCCTGGAAAAACCCAAAGCATCGCTCTTTTCTTAGCAAAAGTCAAGGCCGGAAAGCACCGCGGTGTGCCCTGCCTCCCATCCGTCCCCCCAGGAGCCGTTTCGGCTGGGTCCTGTTTTCAGCCAAGTCCCCGTTTCACACATTTTCCCCTCTCCTGAGGGAACAGCAGTGTCCCTGTTGTGCTGATTTTATCCATCCCTCGCGGTGCTGCTCCATCCGGCACCCGATGGCAGCAGCTTCGTACCCTCCTTGGGTCACCCCGTGCTGCATCCCAGTGGGATCAGCTGGGATAGGGCAGCTGCCTGCTCATCCCTGCTCATGTCCTTGGCCAGTGGGGACTGGTGTTCTGGCAGGGGCTCCACTGTGGGGTGTGTGTCAGCAGGGCTCGTGCTGTTGGGATTTGGATTGGGATTTCTCTGCCTGCAGCAGGCAGGGGATGCAGCTCTTTGCGTTTTCTTTTCCCCAGCCCAGGGACGGAGCTTTGCTAGGAGGGACTTTTTTTCCTTCCCCTGTACCGTTTTCGGCTGCCAAAGAAAACGGGACGTGTTCGGGGAGTTCCCAAAATAGCCGAGAGCGAGCTGTGAGTAATCCCCGTCGGTCACGCCCTGGCGAGGTGTTTCCCTACATCCCTGCATTCCCTCAGCTGGATGGCCAGGGGGCTGTGACGCTGCTCCCGGCTCTTCCTGGTCCCGTGGCACCTGGAGGGGGCTTGCGGGAAGCTGCTCCATCCGGTGACACCGGAGCACTTGGTGGGGACCAACAGGAACGGTGGGAGCTCAGCCAGGAGAAGGAATTAGTCACCGGGACTGAGCACGGATGGGATGGGATGGAATGGGATGGAGGTGCCTCCATGGGGCTTTGGCACTTCCCAGATGAGACATAGGGAAGGAGGAAGTGGATCTGGCCCTGTGGGGATGGAGAGAGGAGATGTTGCCCGTGGTGGGACACTCGGGATGGACACAGGGTCCCTGTGTGCCCACTGAGCTCCAGCCGGCTGGGGAAGGAGTTGGTGGCGGGATTTTGGAAGTCTCTGGAAGCGAGCAGTCTCTGAGCTTGGAAATCCTCAGGGAAACCCCTTCTCCATCAGAGAGGGGACACCGTGGGCTGTGACACAGGGCTGATCCTGGTGGGAGGGACCGCTCGGTGGGGCTGGGAGCTGGGAGTCTCTTGTCCCAGTGGCTTGAGCAGCACATCTTGACCAGCCACGGGGGTCTCTCCCTGTTCCCAGCCCCTGAGCCATGGCCTACCACAGCTTCCTGCTGGAGCCCATCAGCTGCCATGCCTGGAACAAGGACCGGACCCGTAAGTACGGCCGGGGCACCCCATCCCAAAATGCCCAGGGATAACCCGAAGCACTGACTGTCCTGGCTGAACATCCCTGCAGTGGGAGATGCTCCCAGGACAAGGCAGAGCTGGGTTGGGGCTGGGTTTGGGGATGTAAATCCTACCAGAGACAGATCTGGGGGCTGGGACAGCACATGGCCCCCTGTATCCCCCAGATCCCTCTGCTGGGGCAGAGCCTGGCACAGGGACAGAGCCTGGCACAGGGACAGAGCCTGGCACGGGGGTGCCAGCACAATGTCCGACCTGGAGGCACTGCAGGACGTGGGGAGGGAGGACGGAGTGCAGAGCAGAGCAGAGCAGGGCCGGGTAATTCATGGCCGATGGCATTTCCCGACCGCGGCACGGGGGACGTGGGAGAACAAAAAGGGCTTTCTCTGCTGCGCCCGGGCAGGAGGGGCGGGATGGGGCTGGATTCTGGAGCTGTGCGCCTGCAGCCATCCCATGTCCTGTCCCATCCTATCCTATCCCATCCCACCAGCCCCACGGGATCACTCTCTAGGGAAAAGAGGGCACTGAGCTCTTGGGTGTGGGGTTCTCCCTTCCCTTAGGGACAATTTGCAGCATTAGGGCAGTGCAGGGCCAGGGCTGGGGGGCTTGGTGGGACCTCCCTGCCATGCAGGGGGACCTGGAGCCCAGGAAG